AGGCTGAAACATTCTTTTAAAGGAATGAGTGTGTGTTCAGAGTGAAGGGATCATTATTATTCATACACATGCAGGGAAAGAAACACCTAACATGCCCCTTTCTAAAGCCAGAAGGTAAATAAAACATAACAAACATCTGAGAGAGGTTGGAGGGAACAACAAGAGACAGATTTTGTGTGCAGGGAACATCAGGAAATATAAAACTCCTGTTGCATAACACAGTAACTTACGGTAAAGTAGGCACAACTGAATCAGTGGGGATTTAGTGAGTCAACGTTCCTGTAAGTTCCATTGATTCAAATGGACCTACTCTAGTACAACTTATTGTGTTAAGCAACAGGGGTTCAGTCAAAGTTAGTTTAATTATATACTGCTAAAGGTTTTAGAGGGTGGGTGAGCAGTAGCAGCTTATAGAATCCTGTTTTTATTTCATGAATTCTGGGCATACATCATGATGGGTAAGGGGAAAAAAAATGAAGCCAAGTATCCCATCTGCAGAGCCATTATCTTTCATTTGTGATTAGGTTTCTTCATTGTAAGAATGATAAGAAACTGTTCCTTTCAGTTTAATTAAGTGACGGCACTGGTGGCCTTAAATGGTGTAGGGTCAGATTATCTGAATGGTCACTTTCAACCAGAGCAACATGTTCCTCTTTTAAGATCAGCTACAGGTAAGGTTCTTGTGGTGGTAAGGAACATCCGAAGCAAAGGCTATAGCTAAGTGGAAGAACATGCATTTTGCATCATAAATTTATTTATTTATTCACATATTTTAAATTGTTGATATGCCTCCTCCCCATCTCCATGCAGAGCTGGAAACTCCCGCCTGAAACTCTAGAGAGCTGCTGCCAGGATTGGCATTATGAGGCTAAATGCATCAATGGTTTGACCATTGACCATTAATGCAACCTTCCTAAGACTGGGAAAGAATCCAGCATGGATCCTAGAGGTCTGATGATGGACCTTCAGTCACTGTGGGCCAGGTATGTCAGCCACATATGTCCCATTGGACATTTTTTAAGGCTGCCTCTCCTCCATGTACTGATGGTCGCTCCTGATACAAGCAGGGTGTTGCAATGTGAGTCCTTGTCTTTATTCATTTTTGATGGAAGCAAATAATCTTCTGAAGTCTGTGTTACAGAAGGGTGTCCTGCTGCCTTTTTGTTTATAGAAACCAAGTGCAGTTGCTGCTAAATTTCAGTGGCAACCTCGGAGACAGCAAGAATCTTGATGGTCACCAGGGAGTCCCTAGATCGGAGGAGATGGAACAGTCCTCAGTAGGTTGGGGGGAGATCCAGCATCAGAATTTCCACTCCAGGAAATTGCCCTAAGTGACAGTGAGATAAATAGACCAATGGTCTAACTCAATATTTGGCCAGCTCCCTATGTTTTCGAGTCAATGTTTTCTTCTAGCACAAGGATGGCTTTCAGTAGTCACTGCATGTCCCCGTTGCACGTACTGGGAATTACTGATTTAAATATTAGCGTAAGATAAACAGCTCTGTCTTTCAATGCACCAGGTAATGAGTGACACTTTTCTAAACACGCCACAATCTTTTAGACAGATAAGATGTCGCATCAGGCTAATTTAACATCCACAATCTGTAAAGACAGCAAGCTTCTCTCTGACCGTGTGTCCCCTCCTGCCCAAGGAATTAAGAGGTACCTTGGAAAATTAGATGTGACAAGCTAGGGTTACGGCTTGCTGATTCCAACCAAACTCTCCTTATGAGCGTTCTGTATTATACAACACGTGTTACATAAACCCTTTCTGAAAAGTGGGCCAAGGACAGTACTCACACCATGTACAAATTACCATCTTAACCCTTTGAAGTGGTTGGGTTCCTACTGACTTAATCCAAATGTCTTTCATGAGTTTTCTGTATCATCCAACTCATTAACCATCTACTGAAAACATTTTCTGGGGAAAATGGGGAACAGGAGCAATACTGAGACCATTTCATACCAACCACAGAAGGGTTCTGTCCAGTGATGACAATTTAGCAAGGCAGATCAGGAGAAGGGGATTTCTGAGCTCAGTGTCATAACAGTCCGATTTGGTATAGTCGTATGTTTCCATTCCTCCAAGGAGCTGAACACTCTTCTACATAACTAACCAAACAAAATGAAATGAAAAGAGGCAACTCCCTGCAAGTAGAAACCTAGCAGAGCAGAAAGTGGGCTAGCCTAGACTGACTCTCTCTGTCTCTTTCTTTCTGCATTGTTTTGCATTTGTGAGGAAGATCAGACAGCTCAAGTATCCTTACCTATAATCCAAAGTAGGGCACAGTTTTTGCCCTGTCATTCTGCTGCACGTGTAATGTGCAACAGCTTAACATACACCACTGTGATGGTGCATTGCAAGGGAAAAATCCCTGTGCTGAGTGAACAGCCCATCAGCATCTCCATCAATAATTCTCTTCCAGTTGAGGAGTGCCTGATACATATTTTCCAAAAAGCACCAGAGTATTCTGAACACATAAGATCATAAAGAATACTGTAACTGTGTAGGAACAAAGCACGTTTCACCGAGTTCTGTATCCTATGTCTTTCAACGGCCAACCAATGTCCCTCCATAGTCCACAATCATGCCTGGAAGCAATAACTCCTCTCATTGCTCTGCTACAGCTGGAAGCTGCATGCAGTCATCACAACAAGTTGTGTTTCTTCTGAAGCTTTGTGAGTCCAAAGTCAACTCCCAGAATCTTTGACTAGTAGCTGTATTGGATGGTGCTTCTGAAAGCTGAAGACCAAAACATTTAGAGGAACCAAAGATTGAGAGCTGCTGGGATACGTCTGCTGGATATCTCAGTGGTTTAATCATCTGGCCGCAGAGCCAAAGTTTGGAAGTTCGATTCCCCACTGTGTCTCCTTGACAGGGGCTGGACCCGATGATCTATAGGATCCCTTCCAGCTCTGCAGTTCTAAGACTATTATTTATTATTATTCATAGATTGATCCTCTTTGTATCTGCATGAAATCATGAAGATGACTCCTAACCTGCAACAATCACTATGTTAAAGCAAAAGGTGACCAGTTGCTCAAGTCTCAAAAAGTCAAAATATATACTAGGTTCAGACGAGTACTTGTTCATGTCTACTTTAGATTTTTAGAGCCTCGTTCAGAGCAGCTTTCTGGCAACGGGAATGCATTTAGTGGGGTTCTTTACAATGCAAACATTTGTTAAGTGTGGTGCTCCTGGAACTGTATGTGACGTACAAACATAAAACTGCAGCAGGGTAATTGTTATTAATCAAGGCACAAAAAATGAGATGTTTTGCATGTTCAGAGACTGAATAAATAAAAATATTGTGTGAGGAAATAGGATGCTTCAAAATACTGGGAATTAGCACTAAAGGTCTGATTCTATCTTCCCATCTCAGGGGGGAAAAAGAAACCATAAATAACCACTTTAGAAAAGAAACAATAAATAAAGAAAATAAAGGTTTGACGTTGTTGTGGGTTTTTCAGACTTTTTGGCCATGTTCTGAAGGTTATTCTTCTTAACGTTTCACCAATCTCTGTGGCCAGCATCTTCAGAGAACCTCTGAAGATGCCAGCCACAGAGACTGGCGAAACGTCAAGAAGAACAACCTTCAGAACATGGCCAAAGAGCCCGAAAAACCCACAACAGCCATTAGATCCTGGCCGTGAAAGCCTTCGAGAATACGTTTGACATTGTGTTTTTGCTGGGGATAGGGGGATGGTTGTTCCCTTATTCCTGTGACCCTGCTTCTGTTAAAGTTTAACTGGACTCCCCTACCATCACTATCCTGAGCAATAATGTAAGATCAGAACAAAAATGCCTGGAGGGCTTTTTACAGCTTTACAGGTGGAAAACTGCATAACTAGGCAAACAGAATGTTAATATTCCCATGTGGATGTTGTGTACCTTGTGCCATTTTGGCCTTTACTCGCCTGCTGAGGGTGTCCATGCATCCAGCTACTTAGCACAGAAGTATCACCCTGGCAATATGTCAGCTTAGCAGTCATCAGAATTAAAAAGGTAAGACTCTCGACCATCACACATTCCAAGGCAATTTAGGGCAGTCCCAAAACTGAGATGGTGTCTTTGAGGCTATGAAAAGTCATCCCTTGGGTCCTTCATCTCCATCACAGGATGACTCGAAAGCACAAGTGGACTATACAAAGATACGACTCCACAGACCAAATTTCCATGCCACTGCTCATACCTTGAACACTTTCAAGTGGCCTTAATCCATGAATTCCTAGTAGACACAAACAAAGCACTCACAACAGTTTGTTGTTGTTCTCTCCCATCAACTCAATTCTGACTTATGGTGATCCTAGTAGGAATGTCAATGTACTGAGATGTTTGAGCAGTTTTCTAGTGCCAACCCTCAAGAGTTTCCATGGTCAAGTGGGGATTTGAATGCAAATCCCCAGGGTCTTAGTCTGGCATTCTATCCTCTATGCCACATAGGCTCACACTTGCAAAGGGCACAATCTAGTGTTATAGTTCAGCATACAATGACAGGAGAATTGGGACTTTCTTTCCCTTCCCATTGCAGCACCCCACTTCCTAATCTTATATGCCAGGCTTTTAAGGTCCACAGAGGACTGCAAAAGAAAGAGATGGATCACTGTGTCTTCCAGAAGGAGCTGGGTCCAGAAGTAGTACACCATTGTGGTCTGGCTAAAATATTTAGCAAATCACTGCCTGTCTCTGTGAAACCATGCAATTGTGTGACCTTCTTGTGACTTTTTCTTTATTCTGAACACTGAAAGAGGAGGATAATGTATAGTTAGCTGCTTTACAGCAGAGTCATGAGGTAGAAAGCATTCAGATTTTCAGCACCAACTGGAGCCAAACACCACTATGGAATGCACCCTTGGGCTATTATACATTTGTTCATGTATTTATGGAAATCCTTTCAGAACGGTCATAGCCTTACTTCTGTGTCCTTAAAAAAAGTAACTACCAGCAATCCTAATGTTTATTCTATGACATTCTTCCTCACTCAGGGTGGCTTGTGGGAATGTTTAAATACTTCCGGAAGGATTTCACACATCGCTTGCCAAAAGACCAGAGACGAAGCTCACGGTTGGTGTCAAAAGATGGAAGGTGTAATATAGAGTTTGGGAACGTAGAAGAGCAGTCAAGGTTTGTCTTCTTGGTTGACATCTGGACCACCGTCCTGGACCTCAAATGGAGATACAAAATGACCATCTTCATTTCTGCATTCTTAGGGAGCTGGTTCTTGTTTGGCCTTCTTTGGTATGCAGTGGCATACCTCCACGGTGATCTGCCAGAGCTCAATCCTTCAATTAATCATACGCCATGTGTAGAAAATATCAATGGCTTGACATCATCTTTCCTGTTCTCCTTGGAGACTCAGGTCACCATCGGCTACGGATTCCGGTGTGTTACAGAGCAATGTGCCACTGCCATTTTCTTGTTGATCTTCCAATCTATCCTAGGGGTGATCATAAACTCCTTTATGTGTGGAGCTATTTTGGCCAAAATCTCTAGGGCCAAGAAGAGAGCGAAAACAATAACATTCAGTAAGAATGCTGTTATCAGCAAACGGGGTGGGAAACTGTGTCTCCTCATTAGGGTGGCCAACCTCAGGAAAAGCCTTTTGATTGGGAGTCATATCTATGGCAAGCTCTTGAAAACCACCATCACACCTGAAGGAGAGACAATAATCTTGGATCAAGTCAACATAGACTTTCAAGTTGATGCTGGCAATGAGAACCTCTTCTTCATCTCCCCCTTGACCATTTATCATGCAATCGATAAGCACAGCCCTTTCTTTCACATGACGGCAGACACTCTCCACCAACAGGACTTTGAGCTGGTGGTGTTTCTAGATGGAACTGTGGAATCTACCAGTGCAACGTGCCAAGTCAGAACATCCTACATTGCTGAGGAAGTCCTGTGGGGCCATCGTTTTGCTCCTATTGTTTCCAGGACCAAAGAAGGCAAGTACAGAGTGGATTTTCACAACTTCAGCAAAACTGTGGAGGTGGAAACCCCTCACTGCGCCTTTTGCCTCTACAACGAGAAAGACGCTAAAGCCAAAGCCAAGATGGGATATGACAATCCCGCCTTTGTGTTTCAAGAAGTTAATGAAGCCAGTGAAACAAAAATGTAATGCTGACTGCTAAGGGGACTGGAGTTCTTATTTTATATATATATAAAACCAGGACGTAAAACCTGTATATATTTGAGCACAAATAAACAAAAGAAAAGAGAGAGAAAAGAGAAAAAGCTGGATTCTTTGGATACCAAAGTAATCTTAATTAAATCAGACTAGACTAAGTAGCAAGCATTTTCATGGATGCACATTGTATTACGGCAATGGAACATGTGTACATAAAAACTTCTATGGAACTTTTAGTTAAATTGGCAGAATGACATAACCAACACTTAAATTGGCAGAATGACATAATCAACACTATCATTAAGAATCAAATGAAGTGGGATTGATAGCTGCCAGCAGAAGAAGTCTATGTGTTTAGAGCAATGTGTTTAGAGGAACGATACGGATTCAATTGTTCACGAAGGGCAGCAGTCACTTGCCTTTGGTGGGTGTTTACCATAACTGTGCCAATTAGATTAGTAAAATGCCCATGAAACCCTTAAAATTATGCTCAGGGAAGAAGGAACCTCCCTTAATAGCATTATTTATTGTTTCCCTTTCTGCTTCTTTCATTTTTTTTAGTATATTCTTCGCCCTGGTTTGTAGCTATGGCTTTGCAGAAATGCTTACGTTTTCCGTTATGCAGCAGCAATGCAGTCATGTATTAATACACACCAGGTGTGTGGTGCAGATTTGGGTTGTTTATCATGGGAAGCATTAAGAATTCTGCCCTATCACGGAAAAAAGAAGGCTTTTCATGGCAGAGGATGCCACCTTCAGGTCAAAAAGCTCCATTTTACTATTTCTTCAAACAGAACAGACTCAGACCTGTGGGTACCTCTCTGAAGTGAAGATGCCATTTCTTCTGTTATTTAGCAAGATATGCATAAGCTCAGAATTTGGAGGGGAGGGGGGAAGAAACACCCCACACCTGACATTATAAGAAAGTAAAGTCATCCTGTCAAGTGTGACTGGCCACTGACTGAATGTGTCTTAATAGAAGCACGCTGTATGACTTGTGGACTTTGTGTTTTACCACAGTTTGGCCTAATAATTTCACAAGGACATATGTGCTGAGGACTCTTAGAACAGCAGAACTGGAAGGGACCCTGTGGATCCCGGCCAGATGCCTAAACCACCAAGCTTCTCTGTGTGGCTGCTCCCAGGCTATAGAATTCCCTTCCCTGTGTTTTATTCAGTAAATAAAACACCACACCGCACCAGTCAAGCCTGCAAGAAAATGTATACTTCTAAATGGAGTGTTTCTGCCCTGGGTTCCAGAAGGCCACTCCCCATGGCCATTCCCTCCAAATTGAATGGAATTGTGGTCCAAAAAAGTAACTTTACCAAGCTGTGGGCATGGTACCTCAACAACTCCTGCCTGGTATCGTCATTTTCCAGGGCTCAGTCTACTGTACATCATCAGTCTGTGAAGACAGGTTGTCTCTCGGGGTTTTTAAAAAAATATTATTGTTTTTTAAAATTCAGTAAAGTTTGGGTTTCTCTCAACCATACTGAAGTATTCCTCTTTTCTCCTATTGCCCTGTTTTATCGATAAACCCCACAGCCCTCAAAATGTGACCTAACTATCAGAGGTTTGATGGCCTGCTTATGATAGACTGGCATTGTTAATAGGTAGGAGAAGCAAAGCTTTCTAATAGCCAAATAGGAATTTTGTAACTTAAACAAAAAGTCACACCGTGCTGAAATGCCCGCTTCCATAAAAACTATTGAAGGCAGAGAACCTTCTTCCTTTTTTGGTGTGTATGATCAAATTTTTCCTAGGTTAACTTAATTTGACGGCTGCCATTGAAGATTTCTAAACCATCACTTCTCAGAAGAGAACAACCACCCTCAAATCCAGAGTCGGGAAAATGTTCCTTCTTTGGAGGACCACTTCCAGAAACCTACAGAGCAGCCCTGCTGGTTGGAGGATTCTGGGATTCCTTGTAAATGGATAAAAAATAGCTTGCCCAATTTAAATCTTTTCCAACTTTTTTTCAAACCAATCTCAACTCCCAGCCTCTCTGCAATAGAAGGAATAGCCCAGATCACAGGACCTTGGGCCACGGAAAGGGGGGACGAGGGACCACAGTCAAACTTTCTCCTCAAGGAAAGCCATGCATGACACTCCATTTGAGGAAGGCATTATCATGACAATATACTTACTCATGAGTGACAGATTTTACTTTCTTGAGCTCCATGATCACTGCAGATGGTGACATCAGCCACAGAATTAAAAGACACCTGCTTCTTGGGAGGAAAGCGATGACAAACCTCGACAGCATCTTAAAAAGCAGAGACATCACCTTGCCAACAAAAGTCCAAATAGTTGAAGCTATGGTTATTTCAGTTGCGATGTATGGAAGTGAGAGCGGGACCATAAAGAAGGCTGACCGCCAAAGAATTGATGCTTTTTAATTGTGGTGCTGGAGGAGACTCTTGAGAGTCCCCTGGACTGCAAGGAGACCAAACCTATCCATTCTGAAGGAAATCAACCCTGAGTGCTCACTGGAAGGACAGATCCGGAAGCGGAGGCTCCAATACTTTGGCCATCTCATGAGAAGAGAAGACTCCCTGGAAAAGACCTTGATGTTAGGAAAGTGTGACGGCAAAAGGAGAAGGGGACGACAGAGGACGAGATGGTTGGACAGTGTCATCGAAGTGACCAACATGAATTGGACCCAACTCCGGGAGGCAGTGGAAGACAGGAGTGCCTTGTGTGCTCTGGTCCATGGGGTCACAAAGAGTCAGACACAACTAAATGACTAAACAACAACAACAAATGAGTAGGGCTCTCCTTACAGGGACTGTCATTGGCCTGCAACTGTGCTTTGGACCCACAACTGTAAATTCCATACTCTACTCTTTAGGTTCTTGGGTTCATTCATAGATGCAGTATGGTTCTTAGGGGGACGAAACACAAAGAATGAAGATCTAGGAATCTAGGAATAACGCCACCTCCTTCCCATGGTGTTCCTGCCGATGGCCACAACAGGAAATGCCTGCCAGCCCCAGCGTGACAGTGGTGGACTAGGCTGGGAGGGAGATAGTGCATTCAAGAAAGAACCCAACAGCTCAAGAACAATGAGTGGAATTTCCTCTTTGTCCTGAGCAGGGTCTTTGTTTGCAGGGAGATAAAAGTCTTGGGTCAGGAAAGAAAGGCTATCAGGGAAGTGCAGAGTCCACGTTAAGAGAGATCCCATAGGAAATCTATTTCTATGTTTGTCATCTGCCGCCATTCAGAGAAGGTTCACCGTTAAGAGGATGAAAATAAACGTAATCTTTTAGACCAGGCACAATGAAATGAGGCCCATTGGCCTTGTAACAGCAAATATAACTGCTCGGCTCTTCCTGAACTTCCAAGTGGTTGTTTTTGCCATGGAGTTCAGACAACCGGGGGTGGGGTGGGGTTGGGTGTCACTTTGAGGAAAAGTTCAGACGGATGTGAGACTGAGAACAGCCATCATGGTAGACATTTGGAGAGAGAAGCGTCTAAGGGTTTGTAAAGTAGTCATAGCTGAATATTTTCTCCTAACAAACTTTGCATCTCACAGCTTACTTGAATTATCGCCACCACTTCATATCATGAAAAACTGAAGTAGAGTTGGTTCCAGGAGTGGGCAAGGCATGGCCTGCTGGATCCTAGAAGCATTTTCATACTTCCTAAGATACCACACAACGCCATTAAAAACAAAATAACCTTCCAGAAAGAGTATGCAATTTTTTTAAAGGATTATTTATTCTAAAGCCCTCCAGGAGTGGTGCTTTCACTCATCACAACCTCTGGGAAATTAAAAATAATAATAATTCAATGCTGCGTTGAGAAGGAGGAGGAGGAGGAGGTAGAGGATGACGACAATGACAACAACGACAATGACAACAACAACAACATGTTGAGAAGGAGGAGGATGACGATGACAACAACAACAACAACAAACAACAACAACAAACAAAAAGGGGTCATTTTTCAGTTGGTATGGCCCATGGCAGTATCTTGGAGCTGAAATCTGGCCACACTTGGGGTGCTCAAAATAACGTGGAGCTCTACCAGTTCAATTGCTCCTGACATTTTATCGTCCAGATGTTTCAGACACCATGTCCCAACAGCCCTATCCACCAAGGTTAATGGCCAGGGGCTCCAGAAAAGGACATTAAAAAACATCTAGAGGGCCAAATGTTGAGACCTTCTGTACCATCGGATAGTGGCCAACCTCCTGCTCTCCCCTTCTCTATTCTGACTGCAAATTTTAATGATTTCTGGCAAGTAACTTTCCCAAATGTATCTCATAATCCCTTTAACTAGAGATGTTAGGTCCTTTCACTGAGGTTTGGAGAACACTGTGCTTACGTCCAAAGTAAAACTGGGAAAATATTGCCCTTCTACATGACTTTTCTTCTTCTTCTTTTTGAAAGCATCCAGTTGGACACAACATATAGTCTCAGAAAAAGATCTGTGTAGCTGTCAACTGGGAGCAATCAACTCAGAAGAAACAGGATGGCTCTGATAGAGAGGCATTGGGGTGTACTGATCAGTTTCCAACTATGCAATTCCACCCCTAGCCCCTAAATGGTCTTGCATGAAACCTCAACAGACACCCCCCCCCCAGATNTCCCCAGACCCCCCCCCCCGCAGATGCCTCAGCTACCAGAAATGTCAGCTTGTATGGCCAATAAAAAAGAAGCATGGGCGTTATAGTGCTTAAACAAGATTTTTTCCACACTGGTATAGTAAGTACTTTATGCTGACCTGGCTTATTGTGGAAAACCTTGTACTTACTTAAACTGGCAGAATAACATATCCAACATCTTTTGGTGCAACTTTCAGAGTCAAGTGAAATGAGGTTGACAGCTGCCATCAGAAGAAAGCTCTGTGCTTAGGGCAATATGGGAAAAAGAAAAAGGAAAGAAGCATTCATTAATTCTCACAGACTGAGAATTAAATACCAATCATCAGTGTGCTTAGGGCAATATGGGAGAAAGAAAAAAGAAAGAAGCATTCATTGTTAGGAGTGATTATTACACAGACTGAGAATTAAATACCAATCATCAGGATGCATCCTAAAAGGCAACATGGTCCCTCAGTTAGATGATTATGCCTGGTATTC